AGAGGTCTCTTGTCCCCAAGGAAGAGAGCGAGGAGACACGAGGGGGATTTAAGCGCAGGATTTTGCCCTGCTAGACAGACTATAGTCGCTGACCAACATGGTGTAGAAACAGATCAACAAGCATCTCTTCTAGAAGTTTTTAGTGTGGCTCTGTATCGGCTGGCCACCTAAACTTAGCCGTTCGTCTAGTTGTGACGCGATATTAACGTCTGCAACGTAGACATCGGGGCTTCGCCTCGAGTTAGCTCAACCTGCTCGAAGTCACCTGCAAGCACTAGCCTCCCGGAGCCACCAGCGTTGCAACACCGCCGACATCGCAGTCGTGCCAGAACTCTCTTCGACTTCTCGCATCCGATCGACGGGGACACAACGCTGCCGGTCATCACACGTATGCCTTCACCTGTTTATATCTTCGAACTTTCTCCTCCGTCGTTCTATTCTTGTTAGTTTGTGTAGTTTGTAATAGTTCTCTCTCGTAAGCTGATTTATTGTTTCTGTTATATATTTCTTTAGTTGTATGAAGTGTCGATGTATTTTGTTAGTTGTATTGAAGTGTTGTATTAGATCCCGTGTGCTGCAATATCACTAGAGTAAAGTTTGTTTTGTTTTCTCACGTCTCTGATCTCTTCACTGTCCCTGCTTTCGTACGGAACGAACCAACCTGCTGTCATTCCCGTCGCCGACTTCGCGCTGGCGACGCTAGAGTGGCAGCTTGTAACAGACGACTAGGTGAAGACGTTTTGTTGGTCGGCAGGTGATGAGCACCATGGTCACTAGGGTCTTCAGAATAAAAGGAAGCGGGCCAAGAAAAGTTTCCAAACCGGGCTTCTCGATGACGGCAGTAGCGCGAGATGGGGCCTGGTTCGCCGCAGTGGAAACAAAGGGGTCGACGGTCAGCAGTGCGCCACAAGTCGGTCCGACGTACTGGTGGTCGCCGCACAGGTTCCCGCTGCCACCACGGCAACGTAACGGGCCTTGGCCGAAAGGGTGCTTCTTCTGGGGCAGGCGGATGACGGCGGACGGCATCGGCATAGGTCAGTGGACGTAGTTCGGGTGGTGGCGCCGGTGATGGAAGGCTTGCCGTAGTTCCTGGCGCACAATTTCTGCAACAGAAGCAACTGGGGGATCGGTAGACGGAAGGCCGAGGGCCCGCAGCTCTTCCCGCAGGATTTGTCGAATCATTTAAAAGTTTTCGGAAATGGCAGCGCTTTGAGCGGCGGCACCAACAGGCGTTTGGTGGGGCAGGTGGTCAAAGTGGCGGCATCGTTGCCGGAGCGCCCGCTCAATGACAGTCGCCTCTTTGATGAATTCATCCACTGTTGTTAGCGGATTTCGTACAAGGCCGGTGAAAAGCGGTTCCTTAACTCCCCGCATCAGGTGACAAACTTTCCTTGCCTCAGCTATGTCAGGGTCCGCGCGGCGAAATAGACGGGCCATATCCTCAGCGAACATGGCGACACTTTCGTTCGGCTTTTTGCATGCTGGGCTTCAATCATCTATTGTGCGAGATTCGTCGGTCCGCTATTCAGGAACGTCTCGAGAAGCTTTTGACGGAAATTGTCCCAGGTTTGGAAAGTAGGCTCCCTGTTCTCGTACCATGTGCGAGCGCTATTTTCCATTGCGAAGTAGGCACGGCCAAGTTTTTCTTGCACGCTCCAACGATTCACCAAAGCGGTCCGCTCGAACTGGTCGAGCCAGTCCTCGAAATCTTCATACGGTTCTCCACGGAAGACTTCGGGAACATGAGGAGTCTCAAAAGTTACCTGGTAAGGGTGAGTCGTCTGGGCCGGAGGAAGATTCGCAGACGTTGAAGGGGCCGCCATGTTGGTAACAGGAGATGCCGTCAAGAGTTCTGGACTTAGGCCTAGTAGGTGCCGGCTGAATCGGTGTACTGGAGTCGCAACAAGATGTTGAGGCTCCGGACTAGGTGTACGGTCCCGAACAACGCTTTCTTGCATCAGGTTGCAGGCCCCAGCACCTTCATCAGTGTCGCGACGTCAAGACAGAGGTCGTACTTGAAGACGCTGAGAAAACAGCAGCGGGTCGGTCTTTTTATTAACCGCGCGCGCGAGAGTTCCTCGTCTTTCTCATTGTTGCGTTCTGCATAAAAGCGCGCAGATGCGCGTATGCACTGTCGCCTTCGTCTTTTTCGCGGGATGCATGAGACAATATCTACAGTGCCATTTCGCAGCGTTTCACTAAAAGAGTTGCACCGCAGTCACCTTCCCTCCGTATACCTCGTATAACATGGATTCTCATGGTTACGAGTCGGTCCAGTCAGTTACTTTTCCCTCCTCCCCTCTAACTTTCTTTCCCTCTTACCCCCTTCCCCAGTGCAAGCTAGCCTGTAGGGCTCAGCCATGGTTAACCTCCCCGCCTTTCTCCTTATTCTCTCTCTCATGATGCGAGGGATCAATTAATAAATGAAAGAAGGAATAGACTTTATCTAAAGTCTGGCAGTTTTGCCGGGCTGAGGTGGGGGAAGAGGGAATAAACCCCTCTAGGAATTTTTTTTCAACTACGAGATAAATACTCGTGATAGCCAAGCACCAAATCCTTCCAGTCTTTCTTGTCCCGCTTGTTCGCAGCTGTTTTCTCTTATGACGTCAAGTCGACAGGCTCAAGTTCATATTCTTTATATAGGATATCTTCTCATATAATGAACCGAATCCCACGTTTACTTCTCAATATAGGCAATAGTAACATATCCTGCTAATCATAGATTCATGTAGATTGCGATGTACATTTCAGGTGCTTTGATTACAGGAGTAAACTGACCAAAATTGTTGGCTGTTTCGTTTGGCCGGCCCTTAAAGGAATGCCGAACGAAAATTGAAAGGAGTGTTGAAAACTCAAATTCTACTCTGAAAACGTAACTATTCCAATAGACAGAGTAAATATCCGGCATTTTCTGTTATTTGGCTGCAATCTTCATCATAGAGTTGCTTATAATTAACTCGATGGTGCTCTGACGCTGCGATCGACCCTGGGAATGATGGGTAGTGCACGGATTTGCCTAGTCTTCGGGTTTGATGGCCTCTAACGCACATGTGGCTTAGTTTCTTGATGTGTCTTGGTTTTGTTTCGAATGAAAGAATGGACGGTTGTAAAACTTCGTGAACCAGTTTGAAATGGTGAGCATAAAGGATTAAAGTATATAGTGAAGAGTAACTGCTGATTATTTGCTACTTGTCGTTTTGGGACGAAGTAACTTCAAGCCGTATGTAGGCAACCGTAGCCGGAAGTACAAACATTTGACAAATCCGTATACTACCCATCATTCCCACGCTCGCTGAAGCGCCTTGCGTTTCAGCTTCCGCAGGTGCTAGTGCCATAGTTACCTCTAAGGAAACTCTTGCGTGCGTGCATGCGTGCGTGCGTGCGTGCGTGCGTGTATGTATGTGTGTGTGTGTGTGTGTGTGTGTGTGTGTGTGTGTGTGTGTGTGTGTGTGTGTGCGTGTGTGTGTTGTTATTGAAATAAAAAATAAACTAAAAAGTTGTCATCATTACTTGGCGACGGCTACCCCTTCAGAGCGCGCGGCGCCTTCAGAGGGCGGGAGCCGTGACGTCACAATCACTGAGGTTCATGCAGGGTGCAGCTGTTCCGGTCCTCCTCTTTTCTTTCTGCACCTCTTCTTTCATCCCGCTCTCTTCGTTTTACAAAGGCGCTGATGCTTTACCCCAACGGGGAGCATTGTTCGCTGTCGTAGTGGTTCTGGGAAACGCAGTGTGCTGAGCCAGTTCTGAGAGACGTGGGCCACGGCTGGCATTGTTGGGACGCTTGTTTCCGGCGAGTGTAACGTCACCTCCTTTAGTCCACGGCGCGGCTGCTAGACGTAGAGGTTTGAGAAAAAATCATTAAATTTATTACCTTCCGCATGTTTCTGCCTAAAATAAACGTTTTATCTATTGATTTGAACACCCAATCTTTCAATTTGGTGGCAAAAGTTTTGTTCAGTATTCAGGGCCAGTCAACCGGCTCCGAAACGCGCAGGAAAAGCTCGTGCATTTTCCCTGCGCGTGACCAACCTCCTTCCACGCGCAGTGACATCAACTCGGTGATCGGCGACGTGACGTAGCACGCAGCTCGTCGATTGGCCTAAACCAGGTCTCAATAAACGGTGATGAAGTCAACGTCAGTGATTGTCGAGTTGACGCGACTCTGCGTAAAGGGAGTTTGTCAGGCGTACAAAAGATGCGCGAGCTTGCTTGGGGAGTGTAAAAAAAGCCGGAGCCTGTTGACTGGCCCTTTAAGGAACGCCAACTAGTTCGATTAACCACAGTTCTGCAACGCTTCATGTGGTCGGCAACGACATATTATTAGCCTCGAATAGATTATGATCAGCATACATGCATAGAATGTCAATTCAATGGTGAGCTCCAGAGAGCCTCTAGAGACATCAGCAAGGGGACCATATATTTCCCAAATATTTAACGATCAAGTGTGTAAGTTTACTGCCTCGGTACTTTGGGATCTTAAGGACCTCCTTGTGTAGCCTCCTCGTTGCGTGTGCTATGTTTTTGGCACACTACTGTGACTGCCCTTTACATTTCACTATGTTTACCATGAGACATTGTTGTGTTGAACACGTTGTATTTAAGAAAGTTGACTGTGTTTGATGACTTTTGCCCTAGGTGTTTCTTGAAGTGTTGTGTGAGATGACCTTAAGTGTGCACTGTTATATGTTTTGCCTTCGTTTAATTTCAGTTTAATGCTACGTGTATAGATGTTCGAAAAATATAAATTAAGGAATACATCCCATTTCATATCCCGCGTGAAAAAAATCGCGTCTCGAGAGGAAACAGCTGCCGAAAGTCTGCTCGGAGATGTGTAGACTGTGTCATTTCTTTCATTATCATTATCTGTCAATTATTTGGTGGCTTTTAGTTTATTTTAACCAGGTCATATAGGACACAGGATAACTGGACGCAGTATACAACTTGACGAAAAGCCTGCCTTTCCGTCAAGCTTCAATTACGGTTGTAGAAGGACAGCGCTGTATACGGGACTGTTTATTGGACGAATGTGCAAGAGAACCATGTTCAGCAACAGTGCTATAGCGTACGGCTCGTAAAAAACACGCTGTAAAAAGGAGGTCAGACAAACGCCGTAGCTGATCTACCTGACCTTGTATGTCTTCCCCTGGAAGGAGAAGCTTTTGATTTCGTCGTTGACTTCTGTCACAGTCAGACCAGCAGCAGTGAGCGTTCTGATCACGTCGTGCCACACCCAGCGTCCCTTGGACAGTGTCTTAGCCAACGTCTCCAGATCTAACGGTACGCGGTATTTTACTCCTGTCCTGTCAACCTTCACGGCCACAGGGAACTTCGTAGTGAAGTGATACATGCGACCCTTGTAACGGAAGGCGTAGAAGTAGCTTGCGTCGTCCCATAACATTCTAGCGCCCATTCGTATCAATGCAACGAGGAGCTCAGCGTAATGAAAGTTTGTGAACAAATCCTTCAGCCTGTTCATTTCCTTGGGTATCCAGAACTTCCTTCCGCGGATAGTTACTCTTACTTGCCCGTCTGGCTCGTTTCCTCCTTGTCCGCTGACTTCGTACGTTTTTCCATCCATGACGATGGAAATGATAAGACCCTTGGAAGAGCGGTTGACCTTTACTCCATGCGCCTTGAATAGTTGGACGAGTAGCTGAATGGCGGTGGCTCCCTTGCCGTTGACGTACGACACAATGGCCTTGAGATTTTTTGGAATGCTGAAGGTCTTGTTGCCCATGTGCACAACGAGTCCCATGTTGGCACCCTGACTTGACTTAAGTTCCGTCTCGTACTTAATTCCGTTAAACAAGACGACCACTTTGGCTCCCTTAATGGCAATGACCACGCCATATTGGTTCAGGCTGTCCATTACACTCGTGAGATGTGGCCCCGAAAGTTTAGTGATGACGTCCACCAGAAGTGGGAGGTCGTTGGGCATCAAGTATATTTTATCGTTGTATTTAACATACATGTCCAGAGAGAAATTGAGTTGTATTTGTTCAGCACCTTTCTGTATAATTGAAAGCTTTCCATCAGGTCCCGGTACGAAAGTGTAGCCCACCAACTGCAGCGCCTGTAATAATTGCATCGGGGAGACCTTCTTGGTGGACAACAAATCGTATATTTTGTCAGCATCCCTCGGCAACAAAAGTTTCACGCCGGCAATCATGAGGACGGTCAGCGGCCGTGCTTTCACAGGGAACCTCATCTTACCAAACGACAGCGCGACTACCACATTGTCAGCGTTGAGCACGGGCACGACACCGTAGCGGGTATACAGGATCGACAGCACGAGGCTGGGCATATTTTTCTTCTCCAGCAGGGCTACTATCTTCCCCAAATCACGTGGTATGACATACTGCTTTCCGTACAGCTTGAGTCGTAAATCGACTGTGACTGGGAACGGTACGAAAACGCCACTCACGACTATGCCCGTAACGCTACCGGTGTTTTTGTCTATATTCAGTGGTACGTTAGCCCGCTGCAAGGCTTGCAGGACTACGCCGACTTGTAGTCCTTCCGGGGACCTGAATATTGCCTCTAGATCAGCCGGAATGTCGTACGATTTTTCTCCTAGTGTAATGCGCACGGGCTTCTTTACACTGATGTCGTACGAATCTCCGCCGTAAACAGCGCGCATCACGCTTCCTCCGGAGGACTTGGTGATACGTACGCCGTACGCTATCAGGAGGAACTTAACCTTGAAAAACTCGGCTGGGTTGTTTCTCAAGGTCTTGAGGAGCACCTTGATATCTTTGGGAAGGTAGTACATTTTTCCTTGCACGAAGACTGAATTACCCACTGGATTCGAGAATTTCTGTGTCTTGCCGAAAATCACGAAACTGCTGATCTTGCCCCCACCATCCACGTTGAACTCGGCTCCAAGCTGGTGCAATATTTGAACCGTCACGGTAAGAACATGCTGGTGTGTCTGTACGTAAACCGCGAGCTGTTTCGAGTCCCTCGGTAGATCGAACTTCTTATCGTTGACGTTAATCGTGTAGCTTAGCTTGAACGGCTTTGGAAACTTGACAAACGTACCGTTAACCGTGACTCCGGTTATCGGTTGAGTGGTGTCCGGGAACTTGGCACCGATTTTCACTAAATATACGAATATGGTGGGCCTGTGGTTGGGAAAGTTGAGCAGCAACTCGATAGCTGCGCGTGTTTCGGGTGCGACGGTACTCGGAGTGGGCGGCACGACAACCGGATGATCGACGTCTTCGAGCGCAACCTCTGAATATGGCGGTCTGTGTGGAATGACAGGGGGTGGCTTCGGCTTCGGAGTTTGCTTTGGGTTCGGAGTTGCCCTTGGTTTCGAAGTTTGCTTTGGCTTCGGAGTTGTCTTTGGTTTCGGAGTTGCCTTTGGTTTCGAAGTTTGCTTTGGCTTCGGAGTTGTCTTTGGTTTCGGAGTTGCCTTTGGTTTCGAAGTTTGCTTTGGCTTCGGAGTTGTCTTTGGTTTCGGAGTTGCCTTTGGTTTCGCAGTTTGCTTTGGCTTCAGAGTTGTCTTTGGTTTCGGAGTTGTCTTTGGTTTCGAAGTTTGCTTTGGCTTCGGAGTTGTCTTAGGTTTCGGAGTTTGCTGCTCTCTCGAAGGCTTCACCTTCGAGATCAGAATACTCACCACAATGTTCTTCAGCTCCGGGAACTTCTTGACAGCGTCCTGTACTTGTTTTGTTACGGTAACCGGCACTAGGACCCACTTAAGCCCAATCTTTATTTTCGTCTTTTTCCCGTTTGGTTTAGCCTTCTGCAGTGCGAGAGTGATTTCGGCGACAGCCTTAGCTCGAGGCCCTTCCTCGGTGGTAACGACATTGTTGTTCACATAGATGACCCGCGTCGCACTACAGTGAGATGGACAAAGGGTGACGCAGAAGCCCGTTTTGGTTCCTGCCCATACCACGAACAGCGCAGCCACCGGGAGCACTGAAAGGAACCGCATTGACGTCTCGGAGTCTTCTCGAGTCCGTCACTAAAAGTGGCCGGCAGTCGCGGGGTCGTCTCGAAGTCCGAACACACGGTTGCCCGATGCAGCTTTTCCTGCGAGGAAGCAAGCATTGTGTGATTCTGTAGTAGTAGTAGTAGTAGTAGTAGTAGTAGTAGTAGTAGTAGTAGTAGTAGTAGTAGTGGTGGTGGTGGTGGTAGTAGTGTCCTCTAAAAGTTGATGAGCTATGCGTTGTATCCTACAGCATCAACGAAAAAAACCCTTGATAGCTTTGTGACTTCTTCCTATGGTCAAATCTTGTCTCATAAATATATATTCTTTTTTGCTTTACTTGTATCAAGTATACCATAATTGAGACACTTCAATATTATTTACATTTAGAGCGTTTTTCATTGTTCAAATTTTTAGGTGCCTCTCAGAGAGCTTCAAAAAATATTCAAAACTGCAAACATGCTCCGATTTGGCGAACACTAGGTAAGCCTATATGTACGTAATTATTGCACTCTACTCTGCACTTAAGATTTTGAAGATGCTGGGAACCGCTCAACAAACGGTGGAGTAGAATTTTTCGTAACATACCTCCCGACTGTTTCACCTTCTGTATATGTGTGCTTGAGCGAGGCCAACCATCGCGGGCTGGTGCTATTGGTTGCGTCAAATCTATAAACCACACCAAGCTCATAAATATTGATTGATTGATTGATTGATTGATTGATTGATTGATTGATTGATTGATTGATTGATTGATTGATTGATTGATTGATCGTGCTATCATATAGAGAAGGAATACCACTCCTGGTTTCCTTTTTCTTGTGCTCACCACGGTGGCTTAGTTGTTATATATTTTGTTGCTCTACTGAGCTTGAGGTCGTGGGCTCTTCGTGATTCCTGACTGCACCTGCACAAATACCATTCCTAGCATTTTCGTAAATACGGTGGTTACACTCACAAGTGAACCCGTAGTTGGACTTAGGTGCAAATCAAATAACCTTAGATCGTCGACATTCATATGTAGTCGTGTGTCTTAGTTGAATTGAGGCTTTCGCAAGCAAAATCGAGAAAATCCGTTTATACTGTTAGAAAGATTTCAAAATTTGCATTTTTTTTCGGCTTGGCGTTCCCACACAACCATCATTTGTTGTCCTCTTGGTGAATTACCATTCACAGAAATTTGCCTGACATAGCACAATGTTGCTCGGTAAGATGCTTCAAGATCGTACCTTTGACAAAATTCAAAGTACCTCCGATGAACATATATATTGGGCGCGCGTGTACGGCCTCTTCTGTATTTACGTTCACGTGAGCGACAGTACTCTCACAGTAGGTGGCGTCGTTGCATAGCCAGAGTATGTGTTTTTGCACAAACGTTGATCAGCAACAATTATTGCAGGCACGTCCGTGACCTTTATCGCGCTATTTTGGACTAATCAAACAATGTCCCCGTCTTTAGTCACTGTCCCCAGCAAAGACTCGCAATTTCTAAGTAGGCCACTGGCGGCTCATAATTGTCACTAATTCACACATTTATGAAGCGTGCGAGGACAGCGGCCCGCACCAGAGGGTTTTCGGACTAAGAATCCTCTTGACCGACCTTCTCACAGAACACCCAATGAATGTTTCACTCTCCATCACAACCACGCGAATCGCGGTGATCGGCGGGTTATAGCGTTCATGAGCTGATTATGCTCCTTCTTATTTACGTCAGCACTTTCGAGGCAAAACAGCACAGGTAGCGAAATTCATGGCCTTACAAAAAACTTAACCTAACTTAGCCTGAACTACCCCAGCCCAACCTAACCTAACCTTCTAGCCTAACCTAACCTAACCCATTGAGCTTACCTCACTTAACTTATCCAACGAGCGTACTCTCAAGCAACAACTTTTGCACTCATTTTTATGGCCGAGTTCACCACGGCTCTGCTGGCATACTGCCGTCCCAGATATGACGTTGTAAAATAACCCTTATAGGGGTGCAAAGAGAAAAACGAACAGAAAATGACCTATCGCGGGGCGTCAAACCAGCGACCTCTCAATCCGCAGCAAGTGGAGCTACCCACTAAACCAAGGACTCGCTTGCTGGATTTCGGGCTGACCGGTCGCGCGCTCGCGCGCTCCGCGCGCTTGCGACCTCCGGCGTCATCGTGGCTCTGGCCGACTGGGCTCGCCCTACGTCACCTCCTGCCGCCGACGACCTTCCACCTCCGACGACAGTGCAGCTCTGACTTACTGGACTTGCTCTACGCCATCCACCGACGCCGAAAGGAGCTCTCGCGGGTGCGCCCCGTCCTCGGACTCCAGTGACCGTGCTTCATCTTTCCTATCTCTTCTATCCCCTCATCTTGTCGTCGCTCGCTCTGGCTCACCACCTCACGTCTCTTCTTCTCTTCTCCTTCTTCGGCTTTCCTACATCTTTACTCCTATCCTTTTTATCCCTCCTCATTCCCATCCCTCGTGAGCTACTGTGGCGGTGTCGCTCACTGAAGCAGACAATAACGGGGCTCACTTTTCTCTTTTTTTCCCTTTTCAAGAGTCAAGAGTCACTTCGCAGGGAACGTACGTTGTGAAATGGGCTGATGGCAAGCCATTCATATGCACCATATTCTGCTTGGCGGCCTTCAGAGCTTCGTAACATCAGTGCGTTTTTGTCATCAGTAGACAGATGGCGTGAAGGTCTCGCGTTGGGCCCGCTTTTAAAATCTTCGCCTCTATACCGTTTCATGAGTGCCGCCTATACGGAGAGTAGTCTCCCCTGCGTACTCGCTTATCAGAATCATGATTAGGCAGGGAAAAAAGGTCACTTTGCTCCCTGCCGCTGCCACGTTTAACGAAGGAGCATGCTGCTCACATGCGAAGAATTGTCACAGTTGCTCGCGCTTGTCCCGTGTACACTTGCGCGTTCATTTCGTGAGTCTTTCTGTTTGAACAGCGCGCTTTAAGTGTCGAGTTGCCCGTCCGTGCACTTCTTTTGCATTCTCATTTCGTGCGTGCTTTCTACTTGAGGTGTGCGCTGCAAGTTTCGAGATGGTTATTGTACTCCACGCATCTTCGCCATTATTTGTTGTAGCATTCATTCCTTCGCCATTTCGGTGAAACAATGGACAAAAAAAACGCTCGGTCTTCCTTTGTGAAGACACGTTTCACTTTCGTGTTATACCAACTTCTTAAGAAGAGGGATCAGCTACATTTTTTTTCTGGTATAGGCCACCTGCATCGGCCAGAAGGAGCTACATAACTCTCAATGAACAGTGCAGTATTACCAACATCTACCACCAGGGGTACGAAGAAAACGTGCGCCTGCCCATTGCCCGTCTCATAGACACGTACTACAGACAAGCCTAGAGCCCTCTCAGTCATGCAGCACTATTGTGGAACCGTCTATGTAGTGTGCGTGTACATTTCGGTGGAGATTATTGAAATTTTCAAGGAAGTGGCTAGCTGTAACGCCATCGCGTTCTTAACACGTCGCCGCACCGAACTTGCAAAGCATACTCCCAACCTTAGAAGTAACGAAGTTGACAAAATTCAGTTACCGAAAAATTTAACAAACTTGACAAGTCCGTTCTACGCATTATCATATCCCAGAGAGAGAGAGAGAGAATATAAGAAAAGTAGGGAGGTTGACTGGACTACGTACAGTTTGATACCCTACAATCGAGGAGAGTCGAATAAGAGAGTAAAAGAGAGAAAGGAAGAGAACGAGATGCACATTGCACACCACACACACCGCACATACAGTGCAGGATTTTACAGGTGGTCGCTCAGTGATGTTGCCCCCAAGAATTGTATAAGGGCTCACGTGGCTTTCTGGGCTGATGTACTTGAGCACCACGCACCCAAGATATTCTCCTGGGTTAACATATTTTGAGGGCTGAGGCGTTAGAGAACCGGAGCTTATGCATGGTCTCCGAGATGTGCCTTCCGTTTGCCTCTCTGGTCATTTCATTCTCCAATTTTATTTCTCCTGCCCGCTAGACTGCGCATTCAGGCACTGCTGTCCCATGTGGCAAAGATGTTCATGCCCGCTAACTTGTAGCGTCAACTGCAGTTACGGCGCATTTGTAGCATTACTATTACAGTCTCTTTTTTCATTCAAACGATCATTTACTATTTTCGCTTGCGATTCGGAGGGTGTAGGTAGCTGATTGGAAGCCATTGATACCAACAGTAATAGCGAGTGTTTTTCTTTTTATTTTAATTAAGATTATTGCACTTGTGATGCTGACAGTCTAAACACTGTTGTTCTCTAGGGTACACAACAGACAGAGCAACTTAAGACCCTGCCTCGAAGAAGCCTATTCTGGTCCCATGCGAGTATGTGGCCGTCCTAAATTACCACAGCGGACTCTTGCGTATCTAATCTCTTTCCTAGAAGAATTTCACAACAGAGAAATCTGTTAGCTGGTGCTTAATCCAGACCAGAACCTACCCAAAGTTACATTTTTGCAACAAAATGCGCCCATCATAATACCATGCGCATGGTGCTCTGAGAAGCAAACGCTAGCGCAATACACGGACATGCCGGGTCACCCTCCACCTGCGACTCGCTTGTAGGGTTCCGAGCTGCTTGCCAGTTGTGTCGTCCGCAATCTCCTGGTGACAGCATAGCCCTCGCCGATCGGCCCGCTGTCAGCGAACTCCTGGTGCCACATAGCTCTAGCCAATCGGTGCCTTTTCCTCGGTCTCTTTCGACCGTGTCCCAATCTTTTACTTTCTCACAAGCTTTACTTCTCTAGTTTTTTTTTTAATCTCTCTTTATCGCACTCCCTCGTGAGCAACTCCTAAGGTTGCTGCAGATGGTTGCGGGGCTCACTTTTCTCTGCTTTTCTTCTGTGTAAAACCATTACCCATTTCCCCCTCGGCCTGTCCCCATCGACCAAGTTAGCGTGGAGCGAAGGGAAGAATTGCTTGTCAGCAACAGTCTTGAGGATAAGAACGATTGCATCGACACGGTGCAGATGGCGGCAAATGCATGTGGCGCATTGGATTGAGCACAGCCACAACTGCTACATGGGACTTGAGGAACAAGCAGGCCCCGCAGCACAAACCCCTTTTCCTTAAATATTAAAGACGAAGGTGTTTCTTCAGGTACTTCAAC